TAATTAACACCTGAACAAATCAGATAGTTATAGTTAAATATTTTCATCTAATTGGAAATTAAGAAACCAAGTCAGTAACTATTCTATTGTAAAGTTATTTGTTTTTTGCTGTTTTTTTTATCTCATTAGAAAGATATAATTGAGCCGCGTCATGACAAAACCAACATAATGGGTTTGCGACCAGCATGGATCCAGACCAGCCTGCCCATCCGCAAAGTCTGATCAGGATCCATGCTGTTTGCTATCAGTTTCTCTATTTGTTATAGACTTTGTAAGCGAACAGCATGAATCCTGATCAGACTGCGGGGATGCTGGTCGCAAACCCATTATGTTGGTTTTGTCGTGACGCGGCTCATATATTATTGTAAAACTTTTCGCTCAACTCAAGTTAGGGAATAGTTATAAACCATTTGTGTCTGTCTTATGTACTTACTGTTATTCAAATATTTATTAAGTGGTACGTCTTATAACAATAATCTTTAATAGATTAACTTTTTTAATAAAACAGTTTTTATCTGAAAATATTAATAAGTTTATCCAGGATCAAACGAATATCATAATTGAAGAAAATGCAGTACTTGCATCATTTTAATGAATGTCTACCTAAATTGTTTACTCTTTTAACTTGCATCAACAAAATTTTAGTGAGTTAAAAGGAAAGTTATTGATGACTTAAAAATTTCTTTAACTGATATGAGATTAATGAACCATATACTTTACATCGGACAAATGATTTTACCATAAATCGCCAGTCTCCCAAATACAGAAACTGTAGCACTGTACAGAAAATTCAAGTGGTCTGACGGACCAGTGGCTTTTAAAATTAGGTGGTCCTTGCCAAAATCAGGTGGTCTCAGACCAACAGACCACCGCTATTGTCGTGGCCTGCATTTTCATGCATGACATCAATTGGTGATTCTTTCAGCATTGTATGTCATTATACATTTGTATGTCAGGAATTAAGTGATTTCTTCAATTACTTAATATATAATTCAAATTCTTGATACAAAGAAAAGTCTGCCATGAATTCTTTATGGAAATATCGGTAATTAATAGAGTTTTATTTCTGGTTTTCAGTTTCATTTAAAAAAAGTTTAACTTATACATTTGTATTATGAATAATGATAGACTGTTTTGTGATTATATTTTAATCATTTAAAGATTTATTGTTTTCTTTCTTTTAAAATTTAAAGCTGTAACTGATTTTCCCCCCCCTTTCAATCCCTCGTCAGCAAAAAACCAAGTTGCGACAAAACTGACATGTTTAAGAATTCAGATATGACCTTCACGGTCAAATTATTGAATTATTCTTCACTTAAATGGTTTTTCTCTGCTGTGTTTTCCTCAGGAAATAAGAAAAAGTTCAGCGTGGGCCCTGCTCTGTGGTGGCTTTATGACGTTAAGAGAAATACAGGTTAAATAGAGGTGAAATAAGTAAATACATTAAGTATTTGTACAAATAAACAGGTTATAAATATAAATGCATTTATTCTAAAGGGTTATAAATTTAAATTGTCTGTTCATCACAGTGCCTTTAATAGTATTCTGGTTGACATCATTATGTTTATACAGAGACATAGATAACATCTCTTGTATATACAGTGTAACTTCCGAATTCCGGAACTTCTGAAATCCGGAAACTTCTAAAAACCGAACAATTTTTCGGTCCCGATTTTTTCCCTTCTATTTTCTATTAATATAATACTTCTGAATTCCGGAACTTCTAAATTCTGAATTCCGGACGATATTTTCGTAAAATTAGAGTCAAATCAATGCAATTTTACCTCTAAAAACCGGACATATCCAAAGGTGTGAAATACATTGTAAATAGAGAATGTTTACCCTGCAGGAAGATTTAATCTCCCTATCGATTGTTTACTAATTAGCGGTGATTGTGTAATTTGACACGCGTTAAAATCACAAACTGTGACATGGGATGTTAGAAGTGATGCGGTTAATCAAAGTAATTTACGGCGGTCAGTTAATTTGAAGTGTTTATTAGCGGGTTAAATGACAATTAATTGAACAATGTATGCATACGTCTTTAGGGATTTTATTGCATTTGATGTAATAATTAATTAACTACCACTGGACGATATGTAAGTTTATGCAATTAACAACATTTCTACAAATTGATAGAAATTCAAAAGCATTTGCAGGTAAGATAAAATGTATTATTTTCATTCACATTTTTATCTTGATTAAAAGACTATTATATATGATATTACAGTAATGGCCACATCTTCCTTGACATTTAGTGATGTTAAGTGGCTTAGTCTTGTCCACATTATCATAAACCTCTGAATTCCGGAAACCTCTGAAATCCGAACTTTTTGACAAGTCCCATGGGTGTTCGGTTTTCGGAAGTTACACTGTATATATTTTTTCTCTTTTTGAATTAAGCATAGTCAAGGGAATTTACCCATTATAATTTGTTAATGTTGATTTTAATCAAATAGTTTATAACTAAGAGTACTGTTTATGTTTTTAGTGTGTTGAAATGTTACGTTTAAGAACATGTTCTTCTCTCATTGTTGTATTTTGCAACCTAAGAATATAATATTCCAGTTAAAGATGTATAGTCATGAATTGAGATATAAGTAAGAAGAATGTCAGATTTTATGACCATTTTAAAATGGGTCTGGGGGAGTTTTTTTTAGTGTGGTCTATTATTTCAGCATGCATGATGGGATTTCCAAAATAAATTGGTATATTTGATCAGAGTTGAAGTAGACAAGATGTGTTCTATGCAGGATCCACATCCCTAGCCAGTGATTTTCCCCGATATTTTACAGCCAAATAAAGGCTGTTTCCTTAGAGCCCATGTTGTGGGGGCATCTGTGTACTGTTGACACAATTCACATCTAGTCTTTATTATCAATTCAAATCCCAGCCAACCTCTGCACAACAAGAGGATTAATCAAGATACAAAATATTATATATTTGTCAATAAATTTGCTATGTTTTCATTACTAAATAGAATCAATTTGTTTGAAAAGATGGACGAAACTAGCATGGGAGAGATGTGACTAAGTTACGATGAATGTAAGTGTAACTTGGCTGCCTGTAATGTAAGGTTGTAATCATTTAGCCTATAAAACACTCCCTAAGCATGATGGGATTACGTTGACTTGTAAAAACAGAGTGTTTTAATGAGAACATAATACCAGAAGGAGAGCCGTGCCATTATATTTGTGTAACAGCTGTTCTAGTGTTACTTTGTTTTGCCATCGAACTATATGATCACAAGTGTTTGATAACAATATTCTAATATTATGGTGACATTTGAAGAGATTTGCATGGGATTGAATTGAAAATAATGAAAAATAACCCTATGAACAAATATTAAATGAAATATTTTTTGTACAATAAGTCAAAGAATGAAAGCTCTAAGTTTTAGTCATTTAAATACTATTACCGTAACATGGTGAAGTACTTGCTGCAGGGTCCAAGTTACATATAACTTTCTGAATGATAATACTGATTATAACAAGCCTGTGCTGCCACTATAGAGCCAGGCCAGCCTGCACATCTATATCTGTTAACACCAGTTCCACACTAAATATGTTATAATATATACGAACTTGTACATCTTTCAATGTGGACATTTTTTTTAATTATCAATTTAAGGGAAAATTTAATAGTACTGACTGAACAGTGTAGACGATGATCAGATGGCCAGCAGTATAAAGGTTTAAACTGTGATGTTCTACACCTGTCATGATCACAGACTATGATTTGTAACCATCAGAAAAAATATACAAAATATATAAATACATTCACACTTGAAGTGACACTGTTTTGTAGTCATTCACTGGAACGTTGCTGTTTAAATGTTATGTTTAAAGAGTAGTTAAAGCCTATGTTAGATCTCTTATTATGCTCATGTAAATATTTGTGAAAATTATATAAAAAAATCTATAAGCTGGTAGTCTTTATGATATGAAGTTTTTGTAAAACAGAACGAAAGATTAAACATTGAATTTTAAACTTGCAGTGCACAGTCAGACAATAGTCTAAACTGCTGGCTGTACAATTTTTATATTTTGATAATTAAATTAAAATCATAAGTGGTATAAAAAAAATTACCATCAGTTCTTAAATTTGTAATGAAATTAAAGTGCATGATATTAAGATATTGTGATACTAAATATCTAGTGAAACTTGTGAAATTTACAATACTTTTTTCTACTTTAAAGATATGTTTTTACATCAGCATGACACATGGATTCTTTTCATGTACGGTAATATATATTTAAACCCATTGTGTGGTGTGTACTAAATTTCATTCACTGGGTTAATATATTAAACCAAGTTACTTTTTCAATCTTAAGTGTTTTTGTTCTAACTTTCCCCACATATCAAATATCCTATATTAGCGTGCACCTGTTGTTACAATACCCCAATAATATTACAGTGCTATATTAATAGCAGATTTTTTATAATTACTAGTACATGTATATATTTAACTCTCCCAGAACTTGCAATTATGTTGACCAATGACATGCCATAATACATAATTATATGTCTTTTCCATAATTAAAGCAGGTCAAAAAAGGGTATGGCAGCCTTTTTTAGAAGTTATTGAATGATAATGATTCATAAACTTAGCTTAACTGTGACAAGAAAAAAGTTTAACCCATTTAATAACTGTTTTTATTGCTCTAATGGTTGTGTTATGCTTGGTCTGTTAAGTTTATTCATGTGAAAATGTAAAGTATGAATATTTTAGTGATGAAGGTGAAATAGGGTTTTAAGTTTTTGAAATATTTTAACTCACTGAATTGTCTTTATGATGCTTTCATTATAGAGCCAATTTTGTAAGCATGTACTTAATACAGTGTTTAACCAATCTCTCCTGTTAGCTGCAGTTTCAGTATACTGTAATTAAAATCCCTAAAACTAGCAATAAACAATTCCAAATATACATAAGGACTAGTCCATTTAAAGGTAGGAATATAATGCTAGGTGTGGCAAGAACATTGCACTCAATTACATGTAGTTAGTGCAGGATTCAAATGCATATGTATTCAAATAGCAAAGGATTATTTTCTTCAATCATTATCATGTGTGATGTATTGAAAATATTTGTGAATATTTGACGACATTATGGATTAATCTTTATATAACCTTCATTAGAATACATGGGGAGATGTTCATGTCGTTTTGTATAAGATGTGTTAAAGTGTATGTATCCTATATAATTGATGACCGTGAGTTACTTGGAAGCAGGGACTATAGAGTAATTGAGATGTCATAAGGCCTTGAATATTTTGTATGGGCCAAATTAAGTTAAATATGTAATTCATATGGTAAATTACTTGCCTCTTTGAAATAGTTTCATGTAAAGTTAACAGATTGAGAGAAATCAGTGCATGATTAATCTATGTTTATGTTTTTTTCCTCCTAAGTTAGAGACATCCTTCTTGAAAATGAAAAAGGAGTAAGGAAATAATTATCTTGCTGTAGAAGTAAATCTATATTTTATGTATGTACTGAAGCATTCAAACAGTTATTTTCATTTTATCACACGATATCTGAACTATGTTACAGAAGAAAATATTTAATTGTTCTGCAATACTAGTATTGGACTAAACATATATAATGTGGTTCTACTTTGAATTAGTAGTATGACATGTTATAATGTAACACAGCAGAATATTTCTGGGTTTTTTTTTATCACAGTACTAAAACAGTTGTTTGTAATTGCAGTGCTTTGGTACGTGCGGGGCTCTGTTGCCTTGGAATCTTCATATTGAATCTCATTGTACCATACATTCTTGGCACGGAATCTACAATGGCTGACGCAGAAGACTCGTACATGGATTTCTGGTTTGTCAGACTGTCGGTTAATCTGTTAGGATATGCAACTATATTTGTTCCAGGATATCTTCTCATACGTTACCTGCGTAAGGTTCGGTATGATGAAACTGCAGGTACTTCAAGTTAGTTTTCAACCTTCTACTAATATGTTACTATTACTAATAACCTGAGGTTTGTTTATGGCTTCTAAAATTCTGGATTGGGTATCCTTTTAACATGACCACTTGCCTTCATCATTAATATAGTTTCTGATTTTCTCAATTGTTAACTCACATGACCCAAAGATCCCAAATTTAAATGTGATTACCAGGGTCTTTCAAATATCTGAACTATTTGAAAGACCCTGGTTTTACCTTCAATCTGCCAATGTTTAGAATTTAACTGTTTGTATGGGTATGGCCAAATACTAGAAAATTGTCAAGTGGTCTCTTGGAAAAGTGATATCTATTTAAGAATGTAAAAACAACTTTATGTATATTCAAAGTTAGAAGCAGCTACATTTGAATAATTTTCAGTGATAAAAATAATGCTGACTTACAGAGACTTAAGAAAAATATTTATATAATGGTATATGATAACTCTTGTACAAATAGAACATAGAAAATAATATTGTAAAATGAAGATCATAGAGTGAATTTATATATTGAATGTGCAAATGAAAGGTAATTATCGTAAATTAATTTCAGGCCCAGGCTTTTTCCAGCAGTTGGCTAAACTCTGTGTGTTTGGAAAAGAAAATGAGCATAATTCTGAGGCGAACAGTTCAGGAGGCAAAACAACTGACCCTCTTGACCTTTCCAAGAGTGCAATGGTCTTAATTGTCTGTTTCCTTGGTCTACAAGGGTCATATCTTACATGGGGACTTCTGCAGGAGAGAATCATGACATTCGAGTATGGAGCGTCTGCTGATACAAAGGGAGAATACTTTAAAAATTCTCAGTTTCTTGTGTTTATAAATAGAATTTTAGCATTTACGATAGGTATAGTTGTACTGTTTATGAAGAAGCAGCCCCCTCACACAGCACCATTATATAAATATTCATACAGTTCCTTTTCAAATATCATGAGTAGCTGGTTTCAGTATGAGGCACTTAAATTTGTTAGTTTTCCTACGCAGGTCTTAGCCAAGGCCAGTAAAGTCATTCCTGTGATGCTTATGGGTAAAGTAGTTTCAAAGAAAACATACGAGTACCATGAATATATCACAGCGGGTATGATTTCATTGGGAGTGGGACTGTTTCTACTTACAAGTGGCGATGTTACCAGGGACAGCACAAAAACTACAACAATAGCAGGCGTAATAATGCTGGTAGGATATATGTCATTTGATAGTTTCACATCTAATTGGCAAGGTGAACTCTTCAAAACGTACAAAATGTCCTCCATACAAATGATGGCAGGTGTAAATATGTTCTCCTGTCTGCTGACAAGTGTCGCACTGATAGAACAAGGGGGTTTTGTAGAATGTATTGCTTTTATGTTTAAGTTTCCAACATTTGTTGTTCACGCAGTTATTCTTAGTTTGTGCTCTGCCTGCGGTCAACTTTTCATTTTTTACACAATCGAAAGATTTGGGCCAGTTACCTTTACAATCATTATGACTTTGAGACAGGCATTTGCTATATTATTATCATGTATCATCTATGGCCATCCCCTCACATTCCTAGGTATTATTGGTGTATGCATTGTTTTTTTAGCATTATTTTTGAGAATATATGCCAACCAACGAGCATGTGCTATCAGACTTGCAAGAGAAGCTATGGAAAGAAATTCTTCAAATGTATAGATTGAATTTTATTGTATATGAGCATAGTCATTTCATTGTTGAATCATGCACACGGTAAAGACTCTGCCGTTGAGTAAGTGGCACTATATTCATATTGTGATTTATAGAGTTTATTTTATCTTTTTGTTGCGTGATATATTAATTTGTTATCAATCTTTATCAAGATTGATCTTTGTTAGTCGTCTATAACATACATGTAATTGTAAAGTTAAATAATATGAACTTTTATTTATAGTTTACTAATCACAATTCTGTCTTATCTACATTGTATTAGAAGAGGTTGTTGCTTTATTTATGTTTATATCACTTTATTAGCTAGTGTTTGAAGTTATTTTTTGTCCAATAGGATTAAGGTACTCAAAATTTTAAAATTGTATCTCATTTACTTACTTTGGTAAATCAACTTTTATTTATTGTCAAGTAAATCTAGTAAAATGATTTCAAACACTGAAATTAACATTGGTTAGTAATCATTCATAAGCAAGCATTACAAAATTGATTTGGTCACGCTTTTGGTCAATTCAAATTTGTAAATGTTTTCTTATTAACATTACATATACATAAAAATGTTTAATCTACTACACCATTGACTTATATTTATATTACAAAGCTTAGAATTATGCACCATTGATCTGTTTACTCAGGTTTATTAAGTAACCTCACCCCCTCAGTCTCACACCCCCACCCTCTGTGAACAGTAGATAATAGAAATTGTTGGGTTATAATTTAATGGTGCATGATTTTGATGAATAATTTATATAAGGAAAGTTTGTCATCGGAGAAAGGTTGAAAATTGCTTTACATTTGAAACTTGTTAATTTTGAATTTCAGTAAATGATGGGTTATAAATCTATTACTCTGATCGCAGAATCTCTATTGTTATTTTTGTTTCAAGAGTTGATAACATTTATTTATCTTGCTATTTTTATGTCAATTACAGTTTTGCAAAAAGGAATTTTATATTAAATTCTTGTAACATAATGCATCTTTAGAAGCATTTTTAAAGGAAATATTTTGGAAAGTATAGACTGTACCCATTTGTTGTTCATATGTCATCATGTATCTACCATTATGTCACATTTTCTACATTTACCAAAGGTGTATTTTTCAGGTTGGCTTGGGTTTTATCTAGCATATATTGCAGGGTCACCACATTTATATTGTTTGTTTTCAATTTGTTTTTGAAGTTATTTATCTAAACACTTGTATTTTATAATTTGAATAATTGTGTGTAAATTAGATTTGACTTTAAATTTAAGAATAGAACCTAACGACAATCTAACTTTAAGCTCCCGTTGTATGGCTTATAGGCTATAATCTCTTTTTTATGTATTATCTGTTTGACTCAATGATTTTATTGTTGGTAGATAACAAGTTTATATGACTATATTGAAACACGTTATTGTAATGGAGTTAAATGACAATATTTTTACATGTGATTATGATTTATTTTAATGAAAGTGTTTGAACTATAAGGATATCCAAATTTAAAAGGCTGATTATTGAATAATGTGTTTTGATAAAACATAGCAGCTTTAAAATAACACAAACGGTAGAATATTTTAAGCTGATGATTAAAGATACTTAAAACTATTGAGTTTCTGTAGCTATGGGAGCAGTAATCATCAATTTTGTAGAAAACTTATATATTTCTATGCTTTAATTTAACCATGTAAGACACTCTCTCAGCTCAATAGGGAGTGCATTTGAATTAATTTTTATCAAGAGGTCCCTGGTTACTAGAGTTAGGCGAAATAACTCTGTGACAACTGATCCCTAAATTGAGTGGAACAGTAATTTTTGTCTCTCACTGAACTCTTTCAAAATAATGTGGAATTAGTAATTAGTTACATAGGTAATTACTGCTTAGTTAACCAGGATTGAACAGTGAGATATGACCAATAATGAGCTGAAATTGGCTTAAAAGTTTACAAATTTGCCATCTCTCGATCAATTAAGATTGCACACATAGTCTGTTTCCTTGAATTGAAACACATTCTATAAATTTAAGTGTTGAATGCATGTATAAACTAGTCTGTTTCCTTGAATTAAAACACATTCTGTAAATTTAAGTGTTGAATGCATGTATAAACAGAAATCATTTTATTGTCTGTATTATTTCTCTCAACAGATGTCTGTTATACCATTATAGATTATACATTCAGGTTATGAGATCTGTTGTATCCATCTTTCTTCACGATGCAGATACAGTATATTGTTGATATTATCCGTCATGGGATCGAATTACCTTAGATACTTTTTTAATCCTAACCCTGCTGGTTGGCATAAAGGGAGTCCAGTCTGCATCTTCATTGGTAAGCCCTAAAATGTGTTTTTATACTGAAATCCCTTAAACTTAAAATGGACTGATCCAAAGTCAAAGCTGGTCAAGTCCATTACGCAAAATCAGTAGTATCAGGGTTAAGAAATAGTAAACAATATGCTTTGAAATGATGAGATGAATCCATAGACACCAAATTAAAATACCTCTATAAATTATGATTACTTAATCATGACACAATGTTGTCATCATTGTGACTGTTTGTGTAAAAATAAATGTTATTTTTTTGTTTTTCTTCGTGGTTGATATAAATTGAAATACTCAGTACTTGTTAAAATATATTTTCATTAATTCATGTTTATTGTACACCAAAGATATGTTTCATTAGTTGTAAGTTTGTTATGTCTTGTGTAGTTAGTTACTATGAGTTTAAAATACTTCCAGAGCTAAACAATTCTTATTCTTGCTGCTTTGAAGAGATTTACTAAGAATAAAAATATATTGTTCTATATACAACGAAATTTGTACCAGACTTAATACAAAAACCTTACAACTATCCAAAGATTATGTTTTACTAAGAAATTAAAAGAAAGAATTGATTATTTTATATGAAAAATATTAACATTTTGGAGTTGCGTGAAATAAATCAGTATTACATCATGTATAAACAAATTTTGTTTGTACTATTTTTGTAAACATGTCACAAAGTATGTGTAGTTTTGAAATTAAAACTGCAAGAGTCCCCATTATTTCTGTCTCCTCCATAGTTTACATAACAAAAATCATGTGAATTATTTAAGTAATTAAGTACTCAGTTTTTTTTCCTTGTCAGTTATATTTTAAACTCTTAATTGTTTGTATTATTACATCATCAGCTTTAATATTAAAGAAAAGTTATTCCAAATACAAAGCATGACTGTGAACTTTTTTTCATTCTTTATGTTTTTTTGAAGACATAATGGGTGATCAGTGCAAGTGTTGGTATTGTATAACAGGTAGATTAGCTTTGTCTGAAATGCTCAGATTGTTTGGCTTCTATGCTGCTTGAAGTGCAGTATAATATTACAGTTCAGAATTGGTTAAAAAAATTCATGTTAGACATAAAATTTCATCTTATTGCCAAAATATTATATTTATGTCACAGTTTAATTGCATAATATTGCTTGTTATTGTTAATTGTCTGGAATTCATTTTCATCATTCATTCTACAATAATCTTGGTATTACAAATTTTATATTTTTATTGAGCTGTTATGGTTTATATAAAATGTAACTATAACAAAAGTGTGATAAAATACAAGAGAGATGCTGTATGAAGGAGGTCAATTATTTAATTACGATCTGAGGTCACTTATTTAATTACAATCTAGCCAATGAAATATAAGTAATCAGACAAAAATATACAATGATTACGATTGTTATATTCATTGCAGGGTAGAAAATTGAATAAATTCTGTACAGATATCTGATCAAGTGAATTTATAAGTTGTAGTAGGTGTGTACAGGCACCAACATACCATTTTAATATGTACTTTTGTTTATTACATGTATGTCGTTAGTGATTGAAATATTGTGAAATGACGCAGGTAATTACTATTCTTGTTCATATTGAGGAATGTAAGTCTAGCAAACTTACTTACTGGACAGGTTATTTTATTTTCATTTTGACATCTCTTAAACAATGTTATAGATGTTTTGTTAAGATTATTAAATATACTGTTAGGGACCATTTTATATATGAATCTCATTATATATTTGGAGATTGTTATCTTCTGATTTTATATATCATTTTTATTTCGCAATCTTGTTACCCTAGGCCCTTTTCAATTAATTGTTTTAAATATGAAATTGGTTTCTGTTATGAAATAGATTGATATCTATTTTTGTAGAATGTTGAACAAAAATAATGTGCATTTTCAAATATTGTTATAGTAATTTATTTCAGAATAACTTACATTATGTTATGTGCAAAATGTATTTCTTAGAATTAAGTTTTAATTGACTTTGAAAAAAAGATAAATTTTAAGTTATATTTATTTAAATCTTGCAAGATAAAAGCTTACAAAAATTGATATGATGTACACTTATATGAAAATTATATTGAATTCTATGTTTATTTTGTAAATAATAAGAGTATAATATTTTTGTTTACAAATACTTGCAGTGGTTCAACCTATTTGTTGTAGATTTACACCTAGTTGGAGACTTGTTTCTAATATCATTACTTACACACTTTTATTGTGAGATATTCAATCATTACACCAAACTACCATGTGAACATTGGGTAGTTCTAGGGGCATTAATTACATGTCAGTTCAGCCTGCCCTTCCATACAGCTTTATCAGATTGTACTGTTAGCTGATACTTCCAGTATTTGATATTGAAATGTCTAAATTTACAATGGACTGTTCCAAATTCAAGGCTAGAATAGTTCACAATATAAATTTTATTTAACGCTAAACCTGATGGAACCCAAAAGGGTAAACCTTTGACACCAGTATAGAGCCAGTCAAGTCTGCACATTATTGCAAGTTGACAAGGCTCTATACTGTTGGCTTACCAACTTTAAAATTTTGATTTTAATATCTCCAAAATGGATATTTCTAAAAATAAAAGCTCTACTAGTCCATTTTACAAATTCAGGAGGTAAAGGGTTCAGGTTAAGTCATTATAGAGGAGGAATGCCAGTATTTATTTGACAGAAATTACCAAATCATATCTGTAAAAATTGTGGCCTTAATTTTTCACTGATATCATGTGATAATTTATTACTGAAATGTTTCTAGATGTATTGTTTGTAAATGTGGGAAAATACAAAATAAAATGGTGAACAAACCCGTACATAATTGGTTGTATATTAACCAGGTCCTCGTCCAGCAGATATTTTTTTTTCTCTAAGCAGGTGACTGTACAAGTGACTTTTGAACAATTTTTGTGCACCCCACTTTGGGGAGGCAGGGGGGCATTTAGATTTACCCTTTTTAGTCTGTCCATCCGTCCGTCTGTTCTCATTTTGTGTCGCACATAGCTCAAAAAGTTTTTTACCTAGTCCTGACACTTTACAGGAATGTTGATCAGCATGTGTAGTTGTGCACCTGGGTATTTTCATGTGGATTTATTTAGTATTTTTAGAATTATTGTCCTTGACTAAGTAAAGATTTGCAATTTTCAGCTTGTGTCGCATGTAGCTCAAAAAGTATTTGATCTAGGGCATGTAGGGTCATGAAACTTTACAGGAATGTTGATCAGCATATGTAGTTGTGCACCTGGGTATTTTTGTGTGGATATATTTAGTATTTTAAGAGTTATTGCCCTTGATTTAGTAAAAATTTACAATTTTCCACTTGTGTCACACGTAGCTCAAAAAGTATTTGACATAGGGTCATGAAACTTAACTGGAATTTTGATCAGCATGTGAAGTTGTGCAAGTGGAGTTTTGCTTGTGAATTTATATGTTTTGTCATAGTTATTGCCCTTGACTTGCAATTTTCAATTTGTGTTGTGCGTAGCTCAATGTAGTTAACCTAGAGTCATGAAACTTTACACGACTGTTGGTCAGCATGTGTAGTTGTGCACCTTGGGTTTCGCTTGTGGATTTATGCAGTATTTGTAAAGTTATTGCCTTGACTTAATAAAAACCGTTTCATTATGTTGTGTTTTTTGTTCCTTGAGTGCTTTAGTTAGAATCAACCAACTTTACAGGAATAATGATCAACATCACTGTGCAGCTATGCACCTGGGATTTTTTTATGTGGATTTTTTTCAGTTTTGTTAGAGTTATTGCCCTTGACTTAGTATAAATTTGCAATTTTCAACTTGTTCATGCATAGCTCAAAAATTATTTGACCTGTAGGCCTGAAAGTTTACACTAAGTGTTGGTCAGCATGTGTATTTATGCACCTTGGGGTTCGCTTGTGGATTTATTCAGTATTTGTAAAGTTCTTACCCTTTACTTAGTAAAATTTTTTAGTTTTCAACTTGTGGCATATGTAGCCCAAAAAATATTTGATCTAGTCATAAGATTGACAAAACAGTAGAGTGTGGGGGCACCCATGTCCTATGGACTCATTTCTAGTTAAGACATAAATTAGTCATAATTAATTATTATAATGATGATACTGAAATTGTTCAAACAATTGTAAGTTTAAAAGCAAAATCAAATGGTTGAGGTTCAAAATTCATTTAATCTCTATACATTCATATAATCAACTTTTTTTTAAAGCTTATTAGGTTCCTTCCATTTTCCTGTACCTTACAATTAATTGCCCTTGACAGTCAACAAATACTTCAAGTTTGAATTTAATATCTAACAGTTTTTTAGGAAAAGGCAAATATTCTGAATGATAATTTTTTTATCTTTAACAGTTTTTTTAGGAAAAGGCAAATATTCTGCCTTTTAGAAATGCATTTCAAATTAAATAGAACAAGTAATCCAAATTTAAAGTGATATAACTTTTAAACTTTGACAGTCTTTGGGAAATTGATATTAGCAGACAAAAATAAATAAAATAGGTGCATGACTTGCAAAAATAAAATTTGGGATTATGTGCCCTTCTGATTTGGAGTCATATTTTGATACCCGACATGTATACCAACTTAAACAGATTCACATTGCAAACAGAAACTGCTTTTTCACTTCATAACCAAATAAAGTTCAAAATATGCAAAAACTCCCCACCCCTTTTTGCTCATCAAGGTTTCCAGGTTTCATCATGGCAGTCTGAAGATATATTATTGTTGTCCTCAATCCATTTATCTAGGTTTATCGTAGTAGTCTGAAGAGTTTTCATTATTGTCCTCGAAGCATTTCTCCAGGTTTCATCATGGCAGTCTGAAGATTTATCATTATTGTCCTCAAACTATCATTATTGTCCTCAAAATAGTTTTGAAAAGTTATCATTAGAATCTGACAGTTTTTTACTTTGTTCCTGAAATGATTTGAATGTCTGCCTTAACAATAATAACTCTGGTGAAGGAACATAGTTGGATTTCGTCACACATAAGAACATCTGTGCATTAAATTGTTGTAAAAGTGTACTGACTTCCTTGTTTTCTTCAACAATCTGAACCTCTTTTAAATATGGTATATGCCAAGCTGTATTTGACTCGTGTGCTGTCCATTTATATTCTGGTGGATGCTGGAATATGGGAGTATTTTTGTAACACATGTAATAAATACTGACAAAAGTATAATATTAAAATTAAGCTTCCAGTATGTGACATTGACCTTCATTTTGAAAGTTAAATCATATTCTCACTTTGTGACATTGACCTTCATTTTGAAAGTTAAATCATATTCTCACTTTGTGACATAGACCTTCATTTGAAAGTTAAATCATATTCTCACTTTGTGACATTGACCTTCATTTGAAGATAAAATCATATTCTCTCTACATGGCACTGACCTTGGTTGAAATACTATTTATAAGAAATTTAGGAATTAAAGCACACAGAAGAGTATTCTTTGTAACAAAGCCGGCCATATCTCACTTGAGACCCATTGCTAGAAAAAATAATTATTTCTTCAATGCAGTAGGCATATCATTTCATTATATGCCAGTTTTTAAGTTTTATCTTGCTACTTGGAGTGGCAATGATGAGGATGAAATCCACAACTGGCTGTTTGTGGCGGCAACATTTTTTTATTCCTTCAAATAGTTTGCACTTGAGATCTACTGATCATATAAACATAAAAAACAATCTTAAGAAATGTATATTCTAACAAGATACATCTTAGGCTGGGCCAATTTTAACCCCCAATCCATTACTTTAACAAATTTGCTGTGTTACACATAAAATTTTTCAGGTGGTAAGGTACCGGACTGGAAAATATAAACAGTCAATTTTGATGCCATAAATTGAATAAACTAGTTAAGAAGTCCATAAGAAAACGCTTCACACTAAAAATGAATGTTGTAACATTTGCATTTTTTTAATGGAAGTGATTTTAACTTTTTAAGCTCCAGACACAAGACCAGAAACATGTGAACAGCAGATAATAATGGGCAACCATTGCTCATGAATGTCACATGTGTAGTATGGGCTGAAAGGTGAGCTTTATATTATGTATATACATAGTTAAATACATACCAGAAGTTTGTCTTGAACATGAAACACTCTTCTTTTATCTCTCCATAAATAAAAGTATGGCCTCAATGCTCGATCAGCTTTCATAATATGATCAGAAAAGTCATCATTAGTCACCAGGTAACAGTTCCAGCCGGACAAAAAAGATGCCAGCAGCATGTAAATATCATCATGTGTCCTGCAAAAGTTCAATGAAACTAGAAATATATCTGTAGGTCAGTGATACCCCCCTCATTCCACTGTTTTGACAGTCTACTGTAGGCCATCTTAACAGAAAAAAAGGATTCCAAAATGCCTCCCATAAGTACTGAGGGCAATAATTCTCCCTAACATTGCAACATATACATGTATTATATAAACTCTGGGCAATTAAGTATCAAAGGGGAACATTTCTAAATTTATTATTCTATAAAAGATACTGTTATTAAATTTGAACCTGGTGCAGGGGAACTTTTGACCTTAGGGGCATGATTCATATAACTTTGGTTGAGGTTTAAAAGGCAAAGCTAAATTCCAACATATAAGCTGTAAGCCATATAGTTTTATGTTTCCTTTGTGAAATTTAATATAAACTGAGAGACCCCCAGTGAGGGACCAATTTTGACATAATGGGCAATATTTATATATAGAAGTTTAGACATTCTAGTTTCTTAGAAGATAAGTTTTAAACATGCTATGCTACATATGCTTTACAACATAATGATTTTGTTTTCCTATATAATTCTATCAAAAGCAAGTGACTAACAAGTGGGGACATGTACGACCATGTATGACAATAGACCTGTTTCATATGATTTTTGTACAGAACACAAGGTCACTTAAAACATAATTATCTAAGCTCTTGGTGTCACATACATTACAATGTAACATAACAAAGAAAATTTGAACATTGTTATTTCAGCTCAATTCAGAGCATAGACCTCATTTAGACCATTCTATAAAGTCTGCTTCCTGCAACTAACTAGTGATGTTCTGATTGTCGCAAGTCGCCGATAATCAATTACTGTTATGTAAAGCGACAATAATCGCTTCACAAAAAATCAAAGGGAATTAATTATGACGGTAATTTTCTTTTATGAACACCTCGGCGATCACAAAAAACATATCTCCGAGACAATTTGGAGTTTCTTTTTTGTTTGTTTTGGGTTTTACGTCACATCGACACAGTATAGGTCATATCGCGACGTTCCAGCTTTACTGGTGGAGGAAGACCTCAGGTGCCCTTCCGTGCATTATTTCAGGCACGAACGGGCACCTGAGTAGAACCACCGACGTTCCGTAAGCTTGCTGGATAGCTTCCTCACATGAAAGGATCCAAAGTCCCTGTCGGGATTCGAACCCACAGCGGTGAGGGGCAAGTGGTTTGAAGTCAACGACCTTAACCACTCGGCCACGGACGCCCCCAATTTGGAGTTAAACAGGATCAATACATGATGTAAACAATAGTAATATAATGTGGTGTGAATGTTATTATTTGACATCCATTGAAAAATAAAATCTATTTCGTAAAATTATGACTATATAAAGTTCAAACTGTGTTGAAAAGTGCTAAAATGAAGTTCATGTTACTGAATATAATCAACTGCCTTGGGAAGGAACGTTACTTTCCTATTTCTTTTTAACACGACTTTATTCAAAAAGTTATTGATTATGTCCCATCCGATTGAACCGATGATCGATTGGGACAAATTTCATCCGATTTCTATCACTACAACAAACCAGTACATGCAGTACTGGTGAGGAAACATGGCTGAGACACCAAATAGGTCTCACATTCACAAGCCTATGGTTGAATGGCAAACACCTTAACCACTTGCCAACTTCTACTGATTTGTCTATTTTCACAAAATCATTCTAGCTAACTTATAATCAATCTTTCATAACCTTTCATTTCCATGCATTTCAGTAGTTTCCATACTGAACTACTTACCATTTTTTCAAGATCAAAAATATTCCAAGTTCTTTGTCCAATGTATGCATTTTATTTTTACATATCACCAAGACATGTTTTCCTCTGTTTTTAAGTTTCTTCAGTATAGGATTCAAATGCTAAAACAGAAAAAAAATCTCACAATGTTTTTAAACAAGCAGAGTTTCACATTCCACTTTTTCTAATTTTTAAAGTTAAACATATTAGAGGAAGAATATTGTAGTAAAGAATACTCCTAGAAAATGTCATTCTCTTGCACAAAATATAATTGAAAATTCATATTTGACCTTGACTGACAGTCTAGGTCATACAGTTAAGGTCATACATTTAAATTATTAAATGTTGGTGTTGTTATAAGTGTTGTTTTGTCAAAGTATGAATGAACTCTGTCCATTACAATTCATAATACAAGAGATAATTTGGAATTAAGCCAAACATTTGTTAAAAGTTCTAGATTTTTGACAGATGAAAGGCTATTACATATAGAGATTGAAACTTGCAAGCACTTACAAAAGGTCCTACATTTGCCGCATCAATTACATAATCAAATGGCTGCTCCTGTTTCTTTATAATGCGACGGAGCTTCTGTAATTCATGAGATGTGTTGGATATTGTAAAGTTATTCTCTTTCAACATCTTCGCAAGAACCTCTTGAAACATCTTTATCATGACTGCCTCGTCTATTGCTTCAGTAACAGGAATTATTTCATTACAGAAATAACACATACGTCTGTAAGTCAAGCAATAATAATGACTCATTAATTTAATTAGCCAATCAATATAAAGTTGTATACTTAAGATTTACTTCCAGTAAGGAAATTTAAATGACCCCTTTAAGTAAAAACATGCATATGAGTTTACATTGAGTGTGGAAAAGAAAATAATTATGCATAATGTAGGAGCATAAACTTTTAAAATTGTTAAATATTTTGTAATGTTAAAATAGCAAAGAAGGTGGAACAGGAGTGAAAACACTACCAGATGAGTTTTATATAATAATTTAATATAATAATTTATATATAATTCAAAGACCGACAACCTATTTGATACTAAACTTTGGCAAAATTTATTAATAAACACCAAAAGATATCAATCTTAATGTAGGCACATTCATTTCTTTGAACTACTACTATCTAACTTATAATTGTGACCAATTGATATGCACAGATGGCATTACATTCCGAAAAAGTTTGCGTGAATAATTCTGCATGATTTAGCAATTTGGTAAAAACGTTTCTATATATTATCTTGACTGGCCATTGTTGAATGCCTGAATGCAGAAGATGACAATTTACTTACCTATTATATTACTATTTAAGTTAAATGCTTAATCCATTGTAGGCATGAATTATATTCTGAACTATAAAAGATGGCAGAATAATGCCAAAGTGTAGTTTTGACAAGGGGATCTGCGAATATCTTATTTTTTGAATCTAAAAAAGTGAAAACAAAAAATCCTCGATTGTCAGACCTTGGCAAAATGCTAAAATTTACATTCACAAATATAAATTAGGTGACAAAAATTACAGTATAGTCATGGGGTAGAAATTAAAAATGTCAAATCAACCTGAAAACCCTGAGTTTAAAATTTTGATCTTAATATAGAAGAAAAGAGAGCTTTCAGAATTTAATAAAGATTAAAAGAGAGCTTTCAGAATTTAATAAAGAAGAAAAGAGAGCTTTCAGAATTCAATAAAGATGAAAAGAGAGATTTCAGCATTTAATAAAGATGAAAACTAAGAAAAGAGAGCTTTCAGAATTTAATAAAGATGAAAAGAGAGCTTTCAGGATTTAATAAAGATGAAAAGAGAGCTTTCAGGATTTAATAAAGATGAAAAGAGAGCTTTCAGAATTTAATAAAGAATAAAAGAGAGCTTTCAGAATTTAATAAAGAAGAAAAGAGAGCTTTCAGAATTTAATAAAGATGAAAAGAGAGCTTTCAGAATTTAACAAGAGCACCGCTAGGCGGAGCATTATTTGCCCGAAAGTATTTTTTATTTAGTAAGGATGACCTTGACCTTTTGACCCCCTAAATCAATAGGGGTCTTCTATCCAATATTGACAATCATCCTATGAAGTTTGAACATTGTGGGTCGAATGGAACTAAAGTTATGCTCCGGAAACTGTTTTCAGTTATAAGGTAATAGTGACCTTCACCTTTGACCTTGTGACCCCAAAATCAATACGGGTCTTCTACCATATATGGACAATCATCCTATGAAGTTTGAACATTGTGGGTCGAATGGAGCTTAAGTTATGCTACGGAAACTGTTTTCAGTATCAAGGTAATAGTGACCTTCACTTTGACCTTGTGACCCCAAAATCAATAGGGGTCTTCTACCCAATATGGACAATCATCCTATGAAGTTTGAACATTGTGGGTCGAATGGAACTTAAGTTATGCTCTGGAAACTGTTTTCAGTTTTAAGGTAATAGTGACCTTGACCTTTGACCCCAAAATCAATAGGGGTCTTCTACCTAATATGGACAATCATCCTATGAAGTTTGAACATTGTGGGCCAAATGGAACTTAAGTTATGCTTCGGAAACCAAATTGCTAACGGACGGACAGACGGACACCAGGGGGTATAACATAATATGCCCTTTCGGGCATATAATAAAGATGAAAAGAGAGCTTTCAGAATTTAATAAAAAAGAAAAGAGAGCTTTCAAGATAAGTAAAATCCTTATTCAGCAATAGTCCTGAAATATTTTTACCCATGTAAAGTGTAGATAGACAAGGAAATTGACAGCTATACTTTTCAGTGTACAAACAGGATTATCCCTGTTTTCACAAGAATGGCTCAAGTTAAAACATTTACATGAAACTATGTGTTTCCTCCTCACAATACTAGGCTGTTAAAGATTCAGCATCTTAATTCTGCCATTAAAACACAATTTTCTGTGTGGGTTAGTAGCTGAAAAATAAAGTTTATGCTTAAATGATCTTATACACAATTTTAATTTAATTAAAACCAAATTCTGCCTATATTTACCTTTTTGCCTGAATTCTTGATGGTTTTGCATTTTCACAATGTGCCCACTCACTGCAAAAAAAGAGTTAAAAAATAAATTGTTATGAAGAAAACAAGTACAAGACAGTATTATGTAAATATATTCTAAAGCTACAGGAATGTAATGATAAACGTAAAAGTAAGGACATCAGAGTAGTATAATTATCTTGGAAGTTTCAAAAAATGACAACACACTTATCCTCTAATAAAGACCCAAATTCAAATTTGTTTGAGGAAAGAAAAATAACATTTAAAGTTAAGTGGAAATTATGTACCTATTACAGTATGTCTCTAACTGGTTTGCTAGATCTTCTTCCAAAGGTAACTCTTCTAGTTTCAGTATCTCAAATAGTAGATCAGCAGGAATCACACCATCCTTCCAACATTCAAAAAATGTTCGTGAAAATGTTTGCATTTCAGGTATGTGCTGCTTTCTCAACAAAGGGAGGTATTTATTGAATACTTCACAGAATGTCTTGTAATCCTGGCGTTTTAAAGATGTTTTAAAAATCTGAACTAATGTCTTAATTGCAAAACCAGGTATCTCAGAGTCCATGCATACATAATCTAAATAATCAACTGCCAAAGTATATTTCTTTGTTTTGGAAATACCAAATGCAACTTTAGATCCAATTACTTCAAAATACACTGGATCATAGGTATTCTTTATTTTTTCCAACACCTCAAATACAAGATCATCATATTTTCCTGCACAATTGACAATTAATTCAACCATTGTTGATATGTTTGGTTCTCTTTTAGACTTTATAAAATTATAGTATGAGACACTTAAATCAGGTTTACGGCTCAATGATTTCATGATAGAATAATCAATGTAACTAGCAAACCCTGCAGATTCTTCTAAAATGTCTTGTTCAAGCTTTTCCCATTCAGCAAATGTCATTGTAAAATCATTTTCTTCACTGTTAACTTTTTCATTAAAGGCAATAAACTTCTGGTTTGGTGGAGTTTTGGATTTAGCTATATCCTCTCTTCTATTTGATGTAGATATTGCTCTGGATGCACCAGGAATTGATTTAAAGTGCATTAATGGGAACAATAAGCATTTAGAATGGTCATTGAAGAGTCTTAAACCATTAGCAGTTAGTAATTTCTGTACTAAAGTGTTTCTTGCAAACTTTAGAATAAACATAACCATCATCGATGCGAGCAGGATACCTAAAACAAAACAAACACAAAACTGTTATAAAAATTGCAATCTTAAATTATCATTTTACATATAAAACTGAAGAAATTGATATTCTGGTCTATGTTTTAGTCATACTCATATACATTTGTATATGCACATATGAACTATATTAATTTTACAAGATATTGCTCATGACAAATACCTCTTCAAGTATACTAGATAATTTTTAATTAGACACTACACCATGCAGATTTGGAGGTAGGCTTTTCTTCATTGTTTGTTAATATATTGTAAATAATAGAGGTAAAGTGTTTACATAGTAATATAGGTTTAAAATAACATGGTATCAAGGGGAGGTGGGGAATAGGTTTGTCATAGATTAATTCTGTTCTGTCTTTTAAAAAGTATTTGATGCTTCTAATGAACCCTTCAAATTGTAAGACAAGAGGGCCATGATGGCCCTGGATCGCTCCCCTGACCCATCAACCGCATCCAAGCAATGTCTTAGACAAGTATCCTGGCCAAGTTTGATGACAATTGAGTCAAAAATGTGACCTCTATTGTGTTAAAAAGGTTTTGGGCAATGTGACCTAATTTTTGACTGGAGACAACCCATATTCAAACTTGACCTAGAAATCACCAAAACCTTCCTGACAAATTTCCAGAACATTTGGATCAAAACTGCAGCCACTACAGTGTTTAAAGATTTTTCTATTTTTAGCTCCTGTGACCTAGTTTTTGACTGGAGATGATCCATCTTCGAACTTGACCTAAAAACCATCAAAACAATCTTTCTGACAAATTTTCAGAATATTTGTATTAAAACTGCAGCCACTAAAGTGTTAACAAGCTTTTTCTATTTTAGCTCCTGTGACCTAGTTTTTGACCGGAGATGACTCATCTTCGAACTTGACCTAGAAATCATCAAAACAACCTTCCTGACAAATTTCCAGAATATTTGGACCAAAACTGCAGCCAGTAGAGTGTTAACAAGCTTTTTTCTATTTTTAGCTCCTGTGACCTAGTTTTTGACCAGATATAACCCATCTTCGAACTTGACCTAGAAATCATCAAAACAACCTTCCTGACAAATTTCCAGAATATTTGGATCAAAACTGCAGCCACTAAAGTGTTAACAATTTTTTTTTCTATTTTTAGCTCCTGTGACCTAGTTTTTGAACGGAGATGACCCATCTTTACACTTGACCTAGAAATCATCAAAACAATCTTCCTGACAAATTTCCAGAATATCTTGATCAAAACTGCAGCCACTAGAGTGTTAACAAACTTTTCCCATTTTTAGCTCCTGTGACCTAGTTATTAACCAGAGATGACCCATCTTCAAACTTGATCTAGAAATCATCAAAACAACCTTCCTGACAAATTTCAAGAATATTTGGATCAAAACTGCAGCCACTAGAGTGTTAACAAGATTTTTCTATTCTTAGCTCCTGTGACCTAGTTTTTGACCGGAATGATCCATCTTCGAACTTGACCTAGAAATCATCACAACAATCTTTCTGACAAATTTCCAGAATATTTGTATTAAAACTGCAGCCACTAGTGTTAACAAGCTTTTTCTATTTTTAGCTCCTGTGACCTAGTTTTTGACCAGAGATGACTCATCTTTGAACTTGACCTAGAAATCATCAAAACAATCTTCATGACAAATTTCCAGAATATTTGAATCAAAACTGCAGCCAGTAGAGTGTTAACAAGCTTTTTTCTATTTTTAGCTCCTGTGACCTAGTTTTTGACCAGATATAACCCATCTTCGAACTTGACCTAGAAATCATCAAAACAACCTTCCTGACAAATTTCCAGAATATTTGGATCAAAACTGCAGCCACTAAAGTGTTAACAATTTTTTTTTCTATTTTTAGCTCCTGTGACCTAGTTTTTGAACGGAGATGACCCATCTTTACACTTGACCTAGAAATCATCAAAACAATCTTCCTGACAAATTTCCAGAATATCTTGATCAAAACTGCAGCCACTAGAGTGTTAACAAACTTTTCCCATTTTTAGCTCCTGTGACCTAGTTATTAACCAGAGATGACCCATCTTCAAACTTGATCTAGAAATCATCAAAAACAACCTTCCTGACAAATTTCAAGAATATTTGGATCAAAACTGCAGCCACTAGAGTGTTAACAAGATTTTTCTATTCTTAGCTCCTGTGACCTAGTTTTTGACCGGAATGATCCATCTTCGAACTTGACCTAGAAATCATCACAACAATCCTTCTGACAAATTTCCAGAATATTTGTATTAAAACTGCAGCCACTAGTGTTAACAAGCTTTTTCTATTTTTAGCTCCTGTGACCTAGTTTTTGAACGGAGATGACCCATATTCAAACTTGACCTAGAAATCATCAAAACAATCTTCCTGATCAACTTCCAAGATATTTGAATCAAAACTGCAGTCACTAGAGTATTAAGAAGATTTTTCTATTTTTAGCTCCTGTGACCTTGTTTATGACCAGATATGACCCATATTCGAACTTGATCTAGAAATCATCAAAACAACCTTCCTGACAAATTTCCAGAATATTTGGATCAAAACTGCAGCCACTAAAGTGTTAACAATTTTTTTTCTATTTTTAGCTCCTGTGACCTAGTTTTTGAACGGAGATGACCCATCTTTACACATGACCTAGAAATCATCAAAACAATCTTCCTGACAAATTTCCAGAATATCTTGATCAAAACTGCAGCCACTAGAGTGTTAACAAACTTTTCCCATTTTTAGCTCCTGTGACCTAGTTATTAACCAGAGATGACTCATCTTCAAACTTGATCTAGAAATCATCAAAACAACCTTCCTGACAAATTTCAAGAATATTTGGATCAAAACTGCAGCCACTAGAGTGTTAACAAGATTTTTCTATTCTTAGCTCCTGTGACCTAGTTTTTGACTGGAGATGACCCATCTTCAAACTTGACCTAGAAATCATCAAAACAACCTTCCTGACAAATTTCCAGAATATTTTGATCAAAACTGCAGCCACTATGGTGTTAACAATTTTTTTTTCTATTTTTAGCTCCTGTGACCTAGTTTTTGAACGGAGATGACCCATCTTTACACTCCAGCAAAAAGGTGAATGTATTAAAATATAATCAATGCCGTTAAATGAAACTTTATAAGATAAATACAAGGTAGTCTAACTAGACAAAACTTTTTTGATGTATTAGGTTAAGACGTGAATATATTAACATTACGCGAGGGGTAGTTGCCTAAGTTATATACTAAAGTATAGGATACTGTATGTAAGTTTCGACCATATATTTTTATGTTTTAAATTTTTGAGTCAGTGCACAGCCATTGTATAAAGTGTACAAAACCTATTTTAAGTGTTTATTTTAAAAGTGGCCCTAATAAGTGGCCGTGAAACGGTGCTATTGAGAAGTTTATTTATTTATTTATTTTGTAATTTTATTGCCATGTAATTTTAATTGAATAATTTCTTAAATAGGCTGTGCACTAGACTATTTTTACCATACAGTCTCATGGTTATTTTCAAAATTGGGAGGTGCTGGCTACAGATTACCCATAATGTCAAAAAAGACTCCATATTGTATATATCCCCTTGCCCCGTGTTATTTATTATCTATCTTTTTTTATTCCTGTATATATAAACTAGTATCCTTAATACTAGTAAACGTGAACCCGTGCCCCCATATGGAGCAATACGTTTATCATGGGTTCACTCAGGCATGAGATTTTCTTAAATATGTTACAAAAAGACTATCTCATCACATTATGGGTAACCAAGTTATTATTATTAGCCATATCTGGGACTTAGATTTTTTCTTATTCTTCTATGAATTGTTTAAGTAATAGAAGATTAATTATTATGTGTGATATCTAGATGCATAATAATTTATAGACCATGAGACAGTGATAAATAGATAAGGCCGTTTCCATCACATTTTAATTATTATATTTGTTTTAATTTAGAAATAAAGTTGGTAAAAACTCGTATACATTGGAATGCAACGGGCACCCACAAAATTTCTATCCAGTCCGCGCGACAAACTTGTCGAAATAGGTCAACACACAAACTTGCACAAACTTCAAGAAAATCGGATTGACCTCCTTATTTAGAAAGAAGAAATTTTAGACCAATGAGGACAAAGGAGGCAATCTTCTCTAAACCAATCAAAATTAACTTTGTAAAGCGGGTGTTCGGTAGAACTTACAAAATTTACAAAATTAAAATAAACTCTGCTAATTACAAACATGTAATTAATCATATGCATCCCAATGTATACGGTTTATAACATTTAAATAGAAACCAACATAAATAACAGACAGCCCACAATGAAATGGTCAGAAAACGTTCCTGACATGCCTTCTCGCACATAAGTATGCGAACTCTACAATTATAGGTAAATTTCTAAAATTTTTTAGTTATATTAAATATTAATTAGTCCTGTTATAAAAGACGGTAACCTATATAAACGTCTTGGCCGATATTAAATTAAGTGCTTTTAATTATTAAATTTTAGATTTCTCGAACTTAGTATGGGATTGCCCCATCTTACTCCCATGGCAGAGGTTGTACGTAGAGACTACCCTGTCATTGGGGATATGGTATGCACATAAACACATGTACGGATATAACAATTAGTAATTAAACATCAGCTCCCCCTTTTTAAAAGGTTATAAATGAAGTATATGCTCGCCCATATGGTCTCTTTCCAGTGGCGAGGGTAAACAAACACAAACACACCACTAGAGTGTTAACAAGCTTTTTCTATTTTTAGCTCCTGTGACCTAGTTTTTGAACGGAGATGACCCATCTTTAAACTTGACCTAGAAATTATCAAAACAACCTTCCTGACAAATTTCCAGAATATTTGGATCAAAACTGCAGCCACTAGAGTGTTAACAAGCTTTTTCTATTTTTAGTTCCTGTGATCTAGTTTTTGACTTGAGATAACCCATCTTCGAACTCAATCTGTATTTCATTGAGACAAATATATAATAGACAAAGTTTGACAATGATCCAATCAAAACTGTGACTGCTAGACTGTTGACGACAAACGACGAACAAGAATTTGTAACAGAGTTACCATCGTCCCCCACCTCGGGAAGTTTTAAATGAAGCATAAAATTGTGCTATTTCAAAAATTAAGGTATTGATCTCAAAACTTTCAGTCCAGTTTTTTTGATCAATGCTAGATCTGCAAATGCAACAATAAATTCATTAAAGAAATAAAATGAAACACAGAATTTAAAAATCTTTAATGTTAAGCTTTGACCTCTAAGTGTGACCTTGACCTTGGAGGTAGGGGTGCAGGTGTTGTGCATGACATATGTTCTTATTATTGTAACTTTTTGTGCCAAGTATTTTCAAAATCCCTTGAACTATGAAGAAGTTATAGATCAGACACAAAATATACCCTATAACAGAGTATGTTAATCTTTGACCTCAAAGTGTGACCTTGGAGGTAGGGACCCATTTTCACGACTGACATATCATCTTATTATTGTTATTATTTGTGCAAAGTATTTTTAAAATCCCTTGATCTATGAAAAAGTTATGGACTGGACACAAAATATACCCTATAACAGACTATGTAAATTTTGATCTCTAAGTGTGACCTTGACCTTGGAGGTAGGGACACAGGTGTTATGCATAACATACCATCTTATCATTGTGACTATTTGTGCCAAGTATTTTCAAAATCCCTTGATCAATGAAGAAGTTATGGTCGGAACACAAAATATACCATATATCAGACTCTGTTTACCTTTGCCCTCTAAGTGTCAGAGCAACAGATAAGCTTTAAAATTGAATTGGGTATTACTCCATCATTTCCTTTGGAATAGGGTATTAGCTCAATTTAATTGGGTATTCCAAAACTCGATAACCTATGATTTCAAGATTAATTGGGTATTCAATTATGAAGATATGAATTTTATGGTTTCAATATCAATAAAATTTAAACTTTTTTAAAAAGAAAATAGGATTAACAATTTACTAGAACTTTTCACAATTGTTTTATCTTTTATATAAAATGCCCATGTTATATTTCATAATATTTTTAACAAGTTCGTTTTCTGACTGATTTTTGATTTACGACTGTTTTGTTTAAAATCATTTTCCTTTTTGTACGACGCCATATTGCTTTCAATGCATCTATCTACTTATTGACGGTCTCCGCAAAATCAACGGTCTCTGCCGGTCTGTAAAGACCGTTGACCTGAGTAGACAAATCGACGGTCTCATGCTTTATTGATATGGCTTAGTCGGTCTTTGGAGACCGGGGACCGTCGAAGACCGAAGACCGTTGATTAGTTAGCATTGATTCGGGAATATTCGAATAGCATGCATATCGATATAATTTGTCCAAAACTACGAGCGTACGACAGATTAATTGGCGGTGATGAAAATGACAATACGCACGGGTTTTTAAGACAATTGCGTATTTTATTTTTTTTAATGGGTTTTGATACGCATTCTTAAAAAATCATTTGCGTATTTTATAAAATTAATTGCGTAAATACGCAAATACGCACCTTATCTGTTGCTCTGAAGTGTGACCTTGACCTTGGAGGTAGGGAGGCAAGTGTTGTACTTGACATATCATCTTATTATTGTGAATTTGTGCCACGTTATTTCAAAATCCCTTGAACTATGAAGAATTTCTAGATCGGACACAAAATATACCCTGTAACAGACTATGTTAATTTTTGACCTCTAAGTGTGACCTTGACCTTGGAGGTAGGGATGCAGGTGTTGCTCATGACACATTGTCTTATTATAGTGACTATTTGTAACAAGTATTTTTAAAATCCTTTGATCTTTGAAAAAGTTATGGACCAGACACAAAATATACCCTGTAACAGACTATGTTAATCTTTGACCTCCACATGTGACCTTGAACTTGGAGGTAGGTGACCGGTTGTTGGGCATGACACATTGTCTCATTATTGTGAACAAATGTGGCAAGTATTTACAAAATACCTTCAAAGATAAGAAAGTTATGGACCGGACACAACATATAAACTCAAATAGACAATGTTGACCTTGAATGAGCAAGTGCGACCTTGACCCTGGAGGTGGGGGTCTGGTTGTTGCGCATGACACATTGTCTTATTGTAACAAATATTTGTGCCAAGTTATTTTAAATTCCTTTGATAAATGACAAAGTTATGGACCAGATACGAAAGTCTAATGGACGGACAGACGGATGGAGCCTATTTCTATATCCCCTTTTTCTTAGAAAAGGCCAGGGACAATTAATTGAAAAAGGGGGCCGAGTTGTGACAAGTGCCGAGCTGACTCTGGGGCCGATTAAAAAAAGAAATGGGGTCTCTAATCTACATATGAAATTTCTTTCACTTAATATTATGTTAAACATGCTGAAATAAGTGGGTCGAATCATCACTTATCTTGGATGAATCATAAGATAGGAAATCATCGTGCATTTACGGTTCAGTAAGTGAATCAAAATTTATGGGGCGAATTGAAGGTGGGCCGAATCGTTATATTTACCACTAGCGAATGGGGAAATCGTTCCACGCTCAAAGGCAAATAGAGGAACTATTTGCAGCAAAACGTTGCAACCGTACCAATGCTCAACTGCTATATTTCTATCACTAGAAAACTTAAAACTTCATTGTGAAACTGAAAGTGCAGCATGCAGTGCACCTGAGAATTGTTGTTGTTGTTGTGATGAATTACGGACATTTCGGACCACGGACGTTTCGGACCAGACATTTCGGACCATAATTTTGGGTCATTTTGGGACATATCGGACCATGCGATGGTCATTTCGGACCATGATGGGGACACTTCGGACCAGAACATATATTCCTTTTTATATAAAATTATTTGTTATTTCAGGATGTATTTACAATATTTGACATTTTTTATAGTTTATGATATTCAAAATGCATGCAGTTAAGACCTGTCCGACGCGATTTTAACATTTTCTAATAAGCTTATATTACCATTGTTTTGACATTTTTTTAATATTGAAAAAAAATTAAAACAATAATAAATTTAAATACCTTTAGATCTATATTGGTAAGCGTAGGATATACGCTGAATATACATATTTAAAGTCAACTTTATCCAAATTAAATCGTGATCTAGAAGGTATTAAAGAACAACGACATCCTTGTCAATGCAGTTTTTCACACGTTTTAATTGCTGAATAGAACTCGTTTAAGTTACGATTCACTCAATTAAAGAAGTATGTATGTAATTTTCATTATCTTATGTGTCATTCAAATGTTTTGTACCTGTGTTTTGTAAAGGTCAATAAAGGTCAATATTTATCTAAATGTATGCATTTATTTGTTTGTAAGATAATGTATGATTTGTTTTATTAGAATAGTTTGCCAATAATATTCTTCGTCATGTCTTTTTGTATATACTTCATGTTTTCAAGCAGAGGTTATGTTGTGGTCGTATGTTGTTAAACTGTGTTTGTATCATAAATGTATGTGATTATATTAATGTGAATTATTTATAAATATCTTATTTGACATTCAAATATTTTGTACATGTGTTTTGTGGTCAATAATTATCTAAGTGTATACATTCAATGGTATGTATGTGTTTGTCAATAATGTATTTGTTTTATAAGAATATGTTGTAAATAATCTATTTCGCCATGTCTTTTTTGTATATATTTTAAAATAAATTGTTTGCAAACGTGTGTCATTAAAACATTGCTTGTTTGTTTTTTAATTTTCTTCATTTATAGTGCAAAATATATAAAATCTAAATAGGGATAGGTGTAAAATCGTCCCATTGTGTCAATATATATATAAAGTTTCTTTAGTTTATCAAATAATTGATGCCTAATATATCAAAAAATAATATATAATCTGGTCCGAAATGCCCAAAACAATGGTCCGAAATGTCCAACACAAATGTCATGGTCCGAAATGTCCAACACATGGTCCGAAACGTCCAAATATCTGGTCCGAAATGTCCCAAAATCTGGTCCGAAGTGTCCCGAAATCTGGTCCGAAGTGTCTGGTCCGAAACGTCCATGGTCCGAAATGTCCTATTACCGTTGTGATTAGGCATTGCACCTCTAAAAGATAGAAAATTATAGAAAATATAAACCCAAAGGCAAAAATAAATAACGAAGTTATGAAAATTTAAGTAAATTTCAATAATTTGACCTTGAGGGTTTAAGTGATAGATCTATAAGAATTATTCAACATGTCGGTTTTTACTAAAATCATTAACGTTTTATTTATAGGTTTATGACCTTACTATTTTAGGACATACCGCATATCCTTAAATTAGTGTTCAACGATAAGTATACGTACGTTTTCCTCCTGACCAAGTGGGAGACTTAGTCCCGCTTTGAGAAAGCAGTTTCTCTTAAAAGTACGAATGAAGGTATTGGAAATGATGAAATATACGTTTTTCTTTATGCGGACGATATTGTTATTATTGCTGAAAATGAAACTCCCTTCCCACCAATAAATATCTGGTGCCTTTTAAACCACAGACACTTTGGGTTTGGAGCTCAAAACGCCTTTAAAATCCAAATAAAATGCATATTTGTCAATCCCAGCACATGTACTGATCATATATATATAAAAAAACTTAATATAAGCCGTTTTGAAAAAATTTCATATTTCAAAATCTATAATAATACACATACAATTGTGTTTTAAACGGAATGTTTGTAGATTTCAGTAAAAGCAATGTTGTGCACTTAATTAAGTCAAAGTATGTGCCTAGATTTGAATGCGTTTTTAAATGTGACATACCAAAAATTGGGTATGCTTATAAGTACACGATTTTTTGGTATTATGTTAGATGAATTCCTAGAGTATAATATTACTTCTATATATGTTTTAAAAATTCCGGCTGTCTTTAATCTTACCGGGTATATATACAAAACTTTAAACTGGTTGCGTTATTTCTGATACATCACATGGTGCAGAGCTCTAGCTGGGGTACCATTAATTCGGTTCATCATCGAGCTATGAGGGTTTTCCTTGGCAAGGGCAATAACACTCTAAATGTTGCTGTACAATGTGAAATGGGTTGGAATCCCATCATTTTTTATCAATGGAAAGCTGTTTATAATAATCGGAGTCGTTGTTCAAATTAATATACGTACCTGGTTAGAACAAAGGATGCGATAATTGACAAATCTTATCAGAAAAAAAAATATTGCCGTTCCTTTTATGTACATATATATTGTCATGACAAACATGTTTATATACTTCAAGGATGAGTTATAATTGCCACGGCATATAGAATTTTAGCTTTATCACATGACATCGCTTGTTATAACATGTATAAGATGGAACCATTACCAATTTTTCTATATTACACACGTGTAATGTTTTACTAAAAAGGCGTACAAAAGCACGCAAAATACTTCAAAAGTTTTTTCCGGCGTTGAGTTAAGTGATAAAAAGGACCCTTACCATCGTGTCATATATGTTTTGTTTTTAATTTCATTTCACAATGCACGAGATTCTCGTGTAATTCAAAGTATCAAAATCGAATAATTTTATAATGTTCGCCATTTAAAAAATCAAACCCACCCCTATCTGGATTGTGCAAAGCAAAGTCTCCTTAAAGGCTTAAAATTTTGTGGAAGGATAAAAACTTAATTGTAGAAGGATCAACAAGCAAATTCGATGAACTTATATCCCCCGCCGAGTACTGGTTATTATTAACACAACAACTGAAGACATAAGGCTTTATTTATATATTAATCATGGCATAAACAGTAATATTCTTTGAACTTGATAAATATTCAGGGCAATAACAGGGCCATAACTTTGTGTTAAATAGTAAAATCTGGAAATGCCAATGAGATGTATGCATACTACATAACTAATCAAGGGCCATAAATCTGAGTTATAAGTATCTGACTGGAACAAGGCGACTATATGCATATCTCCTCTTAGTATCCCATAAAGTTTCATTGAATTCCAGCCAGTAGTAGCAGAGAAGTAGCGAGGAAACAAATATTTTTCTATATGGATACTGCATAACTAATCAAGGGCCATAACTCTGAGTTAAAGTGTCTGACCGGAACAAGCCGACGATATGCGCATCTCCTCTTAGTATTGAAGGTTCCCATAAAGTTTCGTTGAATTCCAGCCAGTAGTTGCAGAGAAGTAGTGCGGAAACGATTTTTACTCTATATGCATACTACATAACTAATCAAGGGCCATAACTCTGAGTTAAAGTGTCTGACCGGAACAAGCCGACGATATGCGCATCTCCTCTTGATATTGATGATTTTCATAAAGTTTCGTTGAATTCCAGCCTGTAGTTGCAGAGAACTACACCGGAAACGATTTTTACTCTATATGCATATTGCATAACTAATCAAGGGCCATAACTCTGAGTTAAAGTGTCTGACCGGAACAAGCTGACGATATGCGCATCCCCTCTTGATATTGATTATTCCCATAGTTTCGTTGAATTCCAGCCAGTAGTTGCAGAGAAGTAGTGCGGAAACGATTTTTACTCTATATGCATACTACATAACTAAGCAAGGGCCATAACTCTGAGTTAAAGTGTCTGACCAGAACAAGCCGACGATATGCGCATCTCCTCTTGATATTGATGATTCCCCTAAAGTTTCGTTGAATTCCAGCCAGTAGTTGCAGAGAACTTCTCCGGAAACAAAATTTTACTCTATATGCATTCTACATAACTTATCAAGGGCCATAACTCTGAGTTAAAGGGTCTGACCGGAACAAGCTGACGATATGCGCATCTCCTCTTGATATTGATGATTCCCATAAAGTTTCGTTGAATTCCAGCCAGTAGTTGCAGAGAACTACTCCGGAAACGAAATTCGGACGGACGGATGGACGGACGGTCAGATGCGCATCTCCTCTTGATATTGATGATTCCTATAAAGTTTCGTTGAATTCCAGCCAGTAGTTGCAGAGAACTACTCCGGAAACGAAATTCGGACGGACGGATGGACGGACGGACAACGCCAAAACTATATTCCCCTCCCGATTCCATCGGCGGGGGATAATGATTATTACATGAATTATGATTAAGGGTGTTGGCTTTATTTGTTGTGTTATTAAGGCATGTCGCAGACGCAATGCAGTGATACCATATACACGGAAACACGGAGCTGTTGATATGTCAGCAGTTGCGCAAGCAAGATACTTCCTCTTGGGAAACGTAGATCTATGCCAGCTGTGGATGAGTCCTCAGAGATAACTGAAAAAGACGTCAGCATAGAGTCGATGAAGTGTGAAAAGTCATTCCAAGAACCTAACGCCGTTACTATGTTTTTTTTATGTTGGATTTACAGTTTTATAAATTCATAGAAGATCAATAGATTATTTTACTCAATAGACCTTTTCACGACGCGGTCCGTTGCTATGAAAATCCTAAGGAATTAGATTTTTTTTCGCGCATGCGCAATCTGCTAGGGCAAAAAAATGCATCGTCCTACATAGAAATATAGTAGAAGTTCATAGACAATGCCGAGTTAGTTCAAGGTAAACGGTAGAAAATTATATAAAATAGCTTTTAACAAATATAGTAAGGATGACTTTATAGCTTTTTGGCGAAGAATGCCATAAAAAGGCATGGAAAAGATACTTGTTTAAGAATTTACGATCAAGGACCTGACACTTGAGATCATTTTTCTGTACGAAATCTGCTGTGGTCATGGTATTAATTATTTTTACAATAGGCTTATC